AACCTGAGTTGGACTCACTCTGGAGCCACTCCAGATTTGCTTAGAGCTGCTCCAGTTCACTACAGCTTCGCTCTGGCATATTTTTAACCCACTTCAACTTGGGTTGGAGCTGCTCCGGAGTATGCCACTCCATTAACAACCCTATCTGGCATTAAAAAGTATGTATCGTTTTATCATTATTTTTTTTGTGGCACCTATCTATATCTATAGATGATAATAAATTTGTCTTATTAAATACAGCTGATTTCAATGCATACCGGAGACAAAAGGCAATGACTTAATTAACAAATATACACAATTACAAGGTACCAAATCCCATGATAATCCGACGGCACCAAATATGTTAAAGCCACTGTCTCCTACTAGATCAGATGCAACAATTACCAATCACGGAACACCATCAACCGCAAGTTTTGAAACAATCGAACACCCATTAAATGAAGATGTTTATAATCTTCAAGAGTCGATTCTTGACCTTACAACGCCTTCCACATTATCTATGTCTAGAACACAAACGGGTGTCAATATGTTAAATGCTCAAGCACATTCTTTAACTTCTCATAACAAATACGAATGGGAAAATGACGAGGATGCAAGTGAATGTCGTCGTTGCAATAAAAAGTTTAGATTATGGACTAGAAGGCATCATTGCAGGTCTGTACCGAAAATCTTATTTTTTTTTTATAAAAATGCCTTGTAAATCTTTAAACTTATTTAATAAATTTACACGAAATAAAAAGACGGTGTGGCCAAGTAGTATGCGATCAATGTTCTACTGCACGAGTTGTTATGTCACCTACACAAGTTGTTTCCGGTCCTTCATCAAGTGAAAATATTGGTCAACATTCTCAACCTTGCCGTGTGTGTGACGCGTGCTATCGAGCAATGGGACATTAATAAGTTAGCCGGATTAAGCTAGTTTTCTGATAAGTAGAAAAGATCAGTAGCTAGTTAACCCTACGTAAATCTTCCAATTAACTTGTGAAACTTTGTTCGTTTCACA